CTGGGGTAGACAAGCGGGGTCTGAGATAAGTGGACAGAAAGAACCTCTGTCCTGCCGGGGAGTGACTTGTGTGGGCTTTCATTTCAGAATACCAGAACCGCTATGGTTCTCGCCCGGTCTGGGCTGACTACCGCCGCAACCACAAAGGTGGGGTACCCCCACAGCGGACTCGAAAGACATGTATTGTGAGTTTCTGAGGGCTGGGAGGTCGGGGGGTGGAGGCCCTAGTGACCGTGGCAGCAGCACTTTTTTGAACACCTTTGACTGCGAGCGCCTTCTCTCTGCAGCGTAAGGATAAAATCGCCGGGAATCCCTGCCCCATCTGTCGGGATCACAAGTTGCACGTGGACTTCAGGGTAAGGAGGATCCTTTCTCCAGAATGAGGATTTGGGGGCTTTTTGTGACACTACAGGGATTGTTGCAGGTGCCCCACATTTCTTTGTGCCTTTGTATGTATTTTGCAGTGATTTTCTGGCAACATAAAAACACTCCTGGGGCAGGCATTTGGCATAGTGGTTAAGGCACTGCTTGGGACTCCAGCATCCCTTATTGGAGTACGCGGCCCTATTCCCAGTTCCGCCTTCCTGTTAATATGTATCCTGGGAAGCAGCAGGTGATTGCTCAAGTAGATGGATCCCTGCCAACCGCACAGGAGCCTGGATTTAGTCCTGGACTCCCGGCTTTGGTTTGTAGCAGCCCTGGCTATTGAAGGCATTTGGGAAGTGAACCAGCAGATGGGAGTTCTTTCTCTGTCTCTATGTCCCCCCCCCCCCAATCTCTGGCCTGTTGCTTTATGCTGTGGATTATACTGAAAAGCCTTATGCTGTGCCTGTGGAGTTTATGGTCTACATCGGCAGGTAGGGGAAATGCCCTTTTCTAATCGGATAGCAATGTCAAGACTCATGTATAGTCATTACAATTACTGACAGGTGTATTGGCCTTCTTTTTTCCTGTGGGTTTCTTTATTCTTTCATCATGTTCAGTAGTGTGCTAGGACACCTCAGCTGGGGCTGAAACACAGTAATAGAGCATTTTTTCAGAAAGCCTTCTTCATGAGGACAAGATTTGTTCCTTAAAGAATGTGACAGCGTAGAGCTGCCGCCTTTAGGAAAGTGCTGTTCTGAGCCTGTAGTGAAGGTGTTAGAGGGGAAGCTGAGCGGCTGTCCATCGGAAAGCTGGAAGGTGTTGGTGTGCCAGTCAGCAGGTGGGGTATCCCAGAGCTGGAAGGTACGAGCTGCAAACCCCTCGGATAATTGCCCGCTTCCAACTGTGTACGACTGGTCTTTAAAAAATATATATTTACTTATTTGAAAGGCAGAGTTAGAGAAACAGAGAGAGAAGGAGAGAGAGGTCTTCCATCCATTGGTTCACTCCCCAGATGGCCGCAACAGCTGGAGCTGTGCCAATCTGAAGCCAGGAGCCGTGAGCTTCTTCCAGGTCTCCCACGTGGGTGCATGGACTTGGGCCATCTTCTACTACTATCCCAGGCCACAGCAGAGAGCTGGATGGGAAGTAGAGCAGCTGAGTCTCAAACCAGTGTACATATGGGATGCAGGCACTGCAGATGGTGGCTTTACCTGCCACACCACAGCACTGGCCCTGACGATTGGTTTTGAAAGCAATAGACCAATTGCATAGCCAAGGGAGTCAGAAAGATTACAGACTGAGTAGCACATATGCTTCTCACTCCATTCCATAAACCTACCTGCTGTTTCTTCAAGAGTCTCATTTCCTCTGATTACTTTGCTAGCTGAGAATCGTTCTATGTAATTAAAGATGCAAAATTGTTCTGAGTATGTATTATATTCAGTGTGCTGTTATGTACATTAAACACTTACACGTGCAGATGACAGCATTCTTGGGGGTGATTTCTGGACTTTCCAGTAACCATCCCAACTGCTTGCCCAAAGGCTGGCTTTAGAATCTAGGTACTGCAGAGGGGATTTCTCCGTGAGGTCAGTGACAGAGTCGAGAATGTGCATGTGAGGTGGCTGGTCCCCAAAGACCTTTCTGCTCTCCCCTCATGGCCCTCTACCATTCTCCTCTGCAGAACGTGAAGCTCTTGGAACAGTTTGTCTGCGCCCACACGGGTATCATCTTCCATGCTCCATACACAGGTTTGCCCGTCATCCCTGCCAGCACCCGAATATATCTCCTTGACTGTGCAGTTAAACAGGTGGCTCCTGCTTACAGCGTACAAAGTGTATTTGAACCTCGTGGTTTAGTGAGGATACTCACATGCTGAACCAGTTATCTGTTGGCAGAAGGTACAGGCAGGTACCTTTGTAAGCAAACTGAGTGTAGTTCTTAACAAAATAAATGTTGGTGGTTGTTTCTCTTCTATTATAAAGTTTCTTCTCTTTTACAAAAGGTTTGCATCATAGTTAGTGGTCAGATAAGTTCTTATGCTGTTCATTGAAAGTTCAGTTAAATTTTCCAGAATTGGCATTGTGAGTTTGGCAGTTCAGAAATATATGTAGCCTATAACCGTGGCCTCAGGCCAGATCTAGCCCTTTGCTCTCCATTTGTTTTCGTATTGTCCACAGCTGCTTCCAGGTTACAGTGGCATAGTAGCTGAGACAGAGACCACAGAACCTTTGAGACCACAATATTAACTGTGTGGCTCTAAGCAGAAAACTTGCCAGTCTCTGCTCTGAAGCAAGGTGAATTTGCACAATGCTGAATCCACCATTATTGGAGGTGGCAGATGATCAGTGTTCAGTTTGTCGGAGCTTTTTATCTTTCCGCTGTAGAAGGCAGAAGGGACAGTTGTTGCTACTCTGAGATCACCCTCCCCAGATCTGGAGTCACGTCTCCCCATAGCGGGTCTTTCTCTGCGGATTGTCCCCTTCTGTCCTTTAGTCACCCACACTTGCCCTTTGGATTATGTTCTGCTTCCAGTCTTGCGGCCTTTGTTACGTGGCTTCTGTGTGGTGCTGGGCCCTCCCCCTGAAGCTTCATCCCAGCTCTTAGTAGGTGGGGAGGATTGTACCCATGGAGCAGACGGGAAAGTGGAGGCCCACGAGGGAGTCAGGCGGACAGGGTGTTTGGGTAAAGCTGTATTCCAACTCCAGCCCTCTGTCCCCGTCCAGAGCACCTGTGTTCTATTACTCACTGTGCCATATAGGATGAGCACCACATTAACCATTCTTCTCCCCACAGGAGTCTGTATGAAGCAGCACAAGAAGTTGACCCAGGCCATCCAGAAAGCCAGAGATCACGGTGAGTGTGAAATGGGGCACCAGGCAGTTTTGTTAGGCTCCTTTTGTGAGGTGCCTCCGATCTGGAGCATTGCTGCAGATGGCCTGTCTAGAAGGAAACACCCTGAAGTCCTTGTCTTACTGCACTCCCTGTCCCCTCTCCTGTCCTTGCCATTGCCCCTCCCTTTGTTCATCTCTCCTTACCGCCACCCCCCCTTTTTTTTGACAGGCAGAGTGGACAGTGAGAGAGACAGAGAGAAAGGTCTTCCTTTGCCGTTGGTTCACCCTCCAATGGCTGCTGCGGCCAGCGCACCGCGCTGATCCGAAGCCAGGAGCCAGGTGCTTCTCCTGGTCTCCCACGGGGTGCAGGGCCCAAGCACCTGGGCCATCCTCCACTGCACTCCCTGGCCACAGCAGAGAGCTGGCCTGGAAGAGGGGCAACCGGGACAGAATCCGGCACCCCGACCGGGACTAGAACCCTGTGTGCTGGCGCCGCAAGGCGGAGGATTAGCCTAGTGAGCCGCAGTGCCGGCCTCTCCCCTCCCTCTTACTCTGTGACTTAGGGTTCCACTGCTATAGCAGGCTGTGGACAGTTCTGGCCCTGGCCACACAGCACCTTTGTACAGACAGTGAGAAGTCTCCTCCTGCTGGGTTTGTGCTCTCATAGCCATGGTGCACGGCTGTACGGGCAGTATGAGCTCATACCAGTTGCCTTTGTGTAATATACACCGTGCATAAGTGCACCTTTTACGGGGGCATCTTTTCTTATTGTCTTAGTCCCCTGTTAGGTCCCTCTGTGGCCCCTCCCTCATTTTGTCCTTTTAATCTCCAGGTCTCCTCAGGTACCACATTCCCCAGGTTGAGCCCCGGGACCTTGACTTCAGTACCTCTCACGGAGCTGTGAGTGCCACTCCACCAGCCCCCACCCTGGTTTCCGGCGATCCCTGGTACCCGTGGTACAGCTGGACACAGCCACCAGAGAGAGAACTGTCCCGCCTTCGGCGGCTCTATCAGGGCCATCTCCGAGAAGAGAGCGGCCCTCCGCCTGCAGCACCAGCAGAAGCCCCCTCCAGTGAGGGGGCGGGCTCCCAGAGTGCTCTGCAGGGGCTGTAGCCTGGGAAGGCAGCCTGCGGGTTAGGAGACAGTGCCTAGGGTTACGTGCTTGGATGTACCTTGTCAAATTGTATTTACTGTGTGGCCAGCAGCAGGTCCAGGGAGAACATGGTTGGTGATGAAGGGGTATACATACATCGGGCTGAGGGGGCCAGCACAGGTGTGTGTGGAAACTGTCCCCTATATACTGTAAATAAATGGGCTGAACATTCGGCTGCTGCTTCTTCAGATTTCTGCCACCTCAGCTTCTCCACAATAAAGCTTTATCTCCTGTCTCTGGCTTGCTTTGGGCGTGGATGAATGCTACTGGGGGCGGGGGTGACCAGCTGGTGTCCGGTCTTGGCTTTTAAGTGAAGAAGCCGCGTGCTGCTGTGGACAGGAGAGGGCCAGGTCTAAGCCGGCCCTGACCCTGACCAGAAGCGGGTGGGGATGGGCAGCTGTGCCCCTCACCCATGCGTAGTGGTCGCAGCATGTCCAGCAGTTCACCGAGGCCCAAGGAGGGTTGAGAACGACATGCTAGGCCAAGGATAAATGCGTTGCCATGGTACCGGCTGTGCGGTGGGGGGGCGTTGCCAAGGGGACAGCTGCCAGGGCTTGGGGGAGGGAACAAAGGACTCCCTGGGGGTGGGTCTTGGATGCCGCTGGGCGTGGTTCCTGAAATAGACCGGGGTGGGGGGGGAAGGCAGAGGGAAGGGGCGGAAGTGACGTCGTGTGGGGCGGGTCCGGCCGCGCACAATGGGCCATGGAGTTCCCGTTCGATGTGGACGCGCTGTTCCCGGAGCGGATCACGGTGCTGGACCAGCACCTGCGGCCCCCGGCCCGCCGACCCGGAACCACAACTCCGGCCCGGTGACCTCTCATACCCGCCCCGTGTCCCTTCTCTCCCAGTTACTCAGCCAGCCGGGACCAGGCGCCACGCCCCCTTCTCATCCTCTAGCGGCCGTTCCTTTTGATGTCCCGGCCTGCCCTTTTGATGACCTTTAACCCTAAACTTAGTGGGCTTATCAGAGCTTGGACCTGTGACCTTTCATCCTTTAGCCCAATGTGGTCCCAAATTGGCCTGCCCTCCCTACTTCCCCACCGCAACCTTAAGGGAGGAGGGAGAGGTGTGTTGAAAGTTTGGGATCCAGCGGGGCGGGTGGAGACTCCCAAGCAAAGGTGGAGAGGAGGAGCCTTCAGGAGGAGCCGGGGTTGGAGTTGTGGCCCAGGGGTTCAGGAGTGACTGCCCAGGACCACCTAATTCAGTGAGTGAGTATCTGACTCTTTGTTTCCTCTCTTCTTATAGTATTGATCTGCAGCAGCAAATTATGACCATTGTAGATGAACTGGGCAAGGCTTCTGCCAAGGTACTGGGGAGTCTCGGGGTAAAGGGGGCCCTCTGTAGGGATGGCAAATAAGGGAGGCCCAAGTCCTGTGGAAGGGACGTGCAGGAAGTCTCTTCCTCCTCCTGACAGGCCCAGCACCTTCCTGCTCCCATCACCAGCGCGTCAAGGATGCAGAGCAACCGCCATGTCATTTATGTGCTCAAAGACACTGCAGCCCGACCGTGAGTGCCACTCGCCCTTCCAGCCCTTCGTCCTCCGCTCACTAACAGATAGCCACCACTAGCTTGTTCACTATTTTCCCGTTCTGCAGGGCTGGGAAAGGAGCCATTATTGGTTTCATCAAAGTTGGATACAAGAAGCTCTTTGTATTGGTGAGTGTTGTTGGAAGCTGGATGTTCTTATGCCTTGGTTCCAGAGAACAAACATGCTGGTGGCTGGAAGGCAGCAAAGATACCTGGATCCTAAAAAAGCCCGTAATATTCTTTGCCATACAGGATGATCGTGAGGCTCACAATGAGGTAGAACCACTCTGCATCTTGGACTTTTACATACACGAGTCGGTGCAACGCCATGGCCACGGGCGAGAACTCTTCCAGTACATGCTGCAGGTATCAGTTGTCTTTTTTTTTTTTTTTTAATCCAGCCCCCCTCCTCGTACCCCCACTGCCATGTTCCCCTGTCCTCCTAATCCCTTCCAGGCTCCTTTGGCCTGCCCTCTCCATACCTCCCCTACTCCATCCTGTTCCCTGCAGAAGGAGCGCGTTGAACCACACCAGCTGGCCATTGACCGACCTTCACCGAAGCTGCTGAAGTTCCTGAATAAGCACTACAACCTGGAGACCACCGTCCCACAGGTTAGAAGCTGCAGAGGATAAATTCCCACTGAGCATTCCCATTGAACTTATTTATTATTTTGGTCAAAGAAACAGTGCCTTCCAAGAGCTCCTTATTTCTCATTGAACAGAGTTAACTGAATACAGTTAAGCTTGCTTTTTTTTAAAAGACATTTATTTATTTGAAAGAGTTACACAGAGAGAGAAGGAGAGGCAGAGAGAGAGAGAGAAGAGGTCTTCCATCCTCTGCTTCACTCCTCAATGGGCCGCAACAGCTGGAACTGGGCTGATCAAAGCCAGGAACCAGGAGCTTCTTCCAGGTCTCCCATGCAGGTTCAGGGGCCCAAGGACTTAGGCCATCTTCTGTTGCCTTCCCAGGCCATAGCAGAGAGCTGGATTGTAAGTGGAGCAGCCAGGTCCAGAACCAGTGCCCATATGGGATGCTGGCACTGCAGGTGGCGGCTTTACCTGCTATGCCACAGTGCCAGCCCCAAGCTTGGTTTTCTTCTCATTGTACCATCTCTCATCTTGAAGTCTTTCATGTTCATCTATTTCTCAAGTCTCTTTAAAATTTTTTAATTTGTTGACTTGAGGTACAGAGAGATAGAGAGGGAGAGCTCCCTTCTACCTGTTCACTGCTTAGATGTCTACAATTGCTCAGGCTTGGCCAGGCAGAAGCTGGGTGCTGGGAACTCAATCCAGGTCTCCCATGAGGATGGCAGGAGCCTAACTCTTGAGCTCCCTGCCAAAGTCTGCATTAGCAAGAAGCTGGAATTAGGACACAGAGTAGACTGTCCAACTCAGGTACTCTAATGTGTGAGAACAGTGTCAACCACTGGGCTAAATGTGTCCACATGCATCTATACTTATCCTGAGTTGTTTCCTACACATCGTTTTTACTTCATTCTCACACTAGCCACAGCTCATTTACATTTATTAAAGATTGAGAAAAATGTATTTTCTCTGGCAGCTTTATCCTAAGATGGGGAAAGTGGCTTGTTTAAAATTAAGCGCAATAAAATGTTACTAATCCTGCCCATCCATTCAAAAAATATGTACTGAGCACTCAGTGCTGTTCTGGGTGCTGGGAACACTTTACTCAGTAGAAGAGACAGAAGTCCCTGCTCTGGCGGAACTTACATTCTAGCTGGGGAGACAAACAGTAAATCAAGCGTATACCATGGTCAATGATTAGCACTCCAGGCAGATGAGAGCGAGTAAGAGGGCTTGAGTATGCCATGGTGGGTGTGGGGTTTTGGGATTGCAAGTTCAGGTGACAACCAGAGAAGGCCTCACTGACAAAGTGCCACTGGAGCAGTAACTCAAAGGAAGTGAATCCTGAAGGGACAGCGTCCCGGACAGAGGGGACAGCCTGTTGAAAGGTCGTGAGGCAGGAATGGGCCTGGATGGAGGAATAGTGCTAAGTGACTGGGGGGTGCAGTAGATGCGATCAAAGAGGTAATGAAGTATTTTGAAGGTAAATAGATAAGATTTCCTAATAGCTTGTATGTGGGAAAAAAGAGGGTTAATTTAAAGGTTGATTTATTTACTTATTTATTGGAAAGAGTTACAGAGAGTGAGAAAGATCTTCCATCTGCTGGTTCACTCCCCAAATGGCCACAACAGCCATGGCTGGGTCAGGCCAAAGTCAGGAGCCAGGAGCTTCCTATGGGTCTTCCACATGGGTGTAGGAGCCCAAGCACTTGGGCCATCTTCTGGTGCTTTCCCAAGCCATTAGCAGGGAGCTGGATTGGAAGTGGAGCAGCTGAGACTTGAACTCGTGCCCATATGGGATGCTGGTGTTCAGGCAGTGGCTTTACCCTACACCACAGTGCTAGCCCATGAGAGAGGGCTTAAGAATGACCCCCAGGGGCCGGTGCTATGGTGTAGTAGGTAAAACTGCCACCTACAGTGCCAGCATCCCATACGGGTGCCGGTTCGAATTCTGGCTGCTCCACTTCCCATCCAGCTCTCTGCTATGGCCTGGGAAAGCAGTAGAAGATGGCCTAAGACCTTGGGCCCCTGCACCCATGGGGGAGACCTAGAAGAAGATCCTGGCTCCTGGCTTTGGATCAGCTCAGCTCCAGCCATTCCAGCCAACTGGGGAGTGAACCAGCGGATGGAAGACTCTCTGTCTGCCTCTCCTTCACTCTCTGTGTAACTCTGACTTTCAAATAAATAAATAAATCTTAAAAAAAAAAAAAAATGGCCCTTACAGTTCTTGGGGTAAACATTTGCATTTGGGAGGATGAATTTGCATAAAATGAGATGGTAGATAGGTCAGCTTTGGGAGGAAATTTGTTTGATATTTGTTTGAGAGTCAAAGAGACTCCAATCCACTGGTTCACTCTTCAGATGCCCATAACAGCTAGGGATGGGTGAGAGCTGAAGCTGGAACCAGGAATACAGTCCAGTTTGTCCAAGTGAATGGCAGGAATCCAATTACTTGAAATATCATAGGGTCTACATTAGCAGGAAGCTGGAGTCAAGAGCTGCAACTAGGAGCCGGTACTGTGGCGTAAAGTCACTGCCTGCAGCACCAGAATCTCATATCAGCGCCAGTTCCAGGTCTGGCTGCTCCACTTCCAGTCCAGCTCCCTGCTAATATGCCTGGGAAAGCAGTGAAAGATGACCCAAGTCCTTGGGCCCCTGCACTCATGTGAGAGACCCAGAAGAAGCTCCTGGCTTCAGCCTGGCCAGGTCCTGACCATTGTGATCACTTGGGGAGTGAACCAGAGTGGATGGAGGGTCTCTCTCTCTCTCTGGCTGTGCTTTTGCCTCTCCTTCTCTGTAACTCTTAACTTTAAAATAAATAAATATTAAAAAAATAAAAGGGGGCTACAGCTGTGGATGGATTCCAGGTACTCTGGGAGTCGAGTGTAGTAAACTGTTAGGATAAAGGCCCATTCAGAAATCCACTTCTAATATATTAATTGAAGATGCCTATGATGTGTTGAGGTTGAGTACAGTTTGGTACTTCCTGGGATATCCAGGGGGAGGTTTGGAGTGGAGTTTTAAGCATACACACATTATTTATTTATTTATTTAAAAGATTTATTTATTTGTAGGGGAGGATGACATACATCTGTACACATACCCACCCATGCACACAGGAGAGACAGCAACAGAGAGAGATCATCCATCTGTTGGTTCACTCCCCAGATGACTGCAATGGTAGCTGAGGCTCGTCCAGGCCTGTAGTCTGGGTCTCTCACATGGGTGCAAGGGCCCAAGCACTTGGGCCATCCTCTGCTGCTTTCCCAGGCTCGTTAGAAGGGAGCCAGTTCGCAAGCAGAGCAGTCAGGACTCAAACATATGCTCCAATGTGGGATGCTGATGTTACAGTCAGTAGCCTAATTCAGTGTGTCACGCTGCCAGCCTTGCATACACATGGTATTTAAAGCACTGAGATGGGATGAGATCACCAGAGAGACAGTAAAGAGAAGTGGTCCAAGACTTAAGTCCGTGAGCATTCTTTTAGAAAAGTAGAGAGAGGGCCAACATTATGGTGTCAGTAGATTAAGCTATCACTTGTGGCATCCGATATCAAAGTGCCAGTTTCAGGGGGCCAATTCAAGTCCCGGCTGCTCCACTTCCAATCCAGCTCTCTGCTATGGCCTGGGAAAGCAGAAGATGGCCCAAGACTTTGGATCCCTGCACCCGTGTGGGAGGCCCAGAAGCTCCTGGCTCCTGGTTTTGGATTGGCCCAGCTCCAGCCATTGTGGCCATTTGGGGGAGTGAATAGTGGATGGAAGACCTCTCTAACTCTGCCTCTCAAAAAAATAAATCTTTTTTTTTTTTTTAAAAAGTGCCAGTTTTAGACCCAGATACGGTTTTTGGCTCCTGGCTTCAGCTTTGCCCGGACATTGGCTGTTTTGGTCATTTGGGGAGTGAACCAGTGGATAAAAAATCTGTTTCTCTCTCTCTGCCTTTCATATAAATAAATAAATATTAGAAAAGTAAAAGGTAGAAGAACAGCCAGCAAATGCAACCAAGGGCCAGTAAAGTTAAAAGTGAGGTGACCTAGAAGGCTGGTGAAGACTATGTTTCCAGGAGAAAAGAACGGTTTACTGGAAACATGCTGCTGATCAGTGGAATAAGAAGTCTGAGGAGTGGCTGTCGGATTTAGCTAGCACAGCCCTGGGGATCCTAAGCACCTGTTTTGGTGCCATGGTGGGTGGAAGCCAGGAATGAGTGGGTTTGGTACATTTGAGAAGCCAGGACCGGAGACAGCAAGGATAGGTCACTCCTAAATGTTGCTTTAAGGGGAACAGAGAAAACAGAGCAAGAACTAGAGGCAGAAATGAATCCGAGAAGACAAACTCTTTTCAGAACAGCGTAGGAATGATTCAGCAGAGAGAAGATCTGATGATGGCAGAGCAAGTGGGGAAAATGCTGAAGTGATACTGTTGGGTTGGCAGGACGGGTTGGGATTTGATTGTCAGGTTAGCCTTGGATCTGAGTGTGGACAGTTAATCCACTGTAACATTACTTGACATGGTCACAGGGAAGGCACAAAGACATCACGAGTGCTTCCTTGGGTTGGGAATTGGATAGAGAAAGGCTTGATTTATGTTTAATCTTTTTCTTAAAAAGATTTATTTATTTATTTGAAAGAGTTATAGAGGCAGAGAAGGAGAAGCAGAGAGAAGTCTTCCATCCGACAGTCACTCCCCAATTGGCTGAAACTGCTAGAGTTGCGCCAATCCAAAACCAGGAGCCAAGAGCTTCCTCCAGGTCTCCCACGTGGGTGCAGGGGCCCAAGAACTTGGGCCATTTTCTACTGCTTTCTCAGGCCATAGCAGAGAGCTGGATCGGAAGTGGAGCAGCCAGATCTTGAACCAGCGCCCATATGGGATGCCAGCACTGCAGGCGGCAGCTTTACCCGCAGCACTGGCCCCTGTACGTTTAATCTTAAAAGGCAAATGTTCTTCACTTGAACAAACTGGGGTGGACTAGTGTATGGACCAGCATGAGCAAAGGCAGAAAGCAATCAAACCACCATTCTGGGCACTGCCACCAGCAGTGTGCTGTGATGGAGTGCTGGCATGTGCCAAGTAGGGGAAGATGAGGATAGGCTGGTAGCATTACAGCAAGGTCAAGGCAAGCAGTAAGCAGGGTCTACTCCCTCTCCAGGAGATTTCTCCATGAGGAGGCAGCAGAGAGCAGAAGGAGTACAACGCCTGACATCTAACACTTTACTCAGTGAACACAAAGGATTAGAGGGATGCACTGTACAGAATGTGTCATGGTCTATCTAGATGCGTCATCTCAGAACCTTGCCCATCTCATTTGAGCTAGTCTCTTTTGAGCTGTGTGCACTCATACAAATCAGTGACTTACCAGAGTCACACAGCTAGTAAGTGCTATGTCCAGATTTGAACTGAGTCCTGTTCATGTCACTGCACTCTGGCCAGGACACCACCACTAGAATCGGGAGTTGCAAGCCTAAGGCCCAGTGCTGCCGCTTGTACTTCTTGACTTTGGGCAAGCTGTGTCTCCAAGTTTTGTTGGTTTGGGTTTGTTTTTGTTTTTGTTTTGTTTTGTTTTTTTCTTTGCATAGTGACTCCAGTGTTTTTAATATTTAATTACTTATTTGAAAGGCAGATTTACAGAGAGGGAGGAAGGGAGAGAGAGAGAGGACAGAGATCTTCTATCCACTGGTTCACTCCCCAGGTAGCTGCAATGGCCAAGGCTGGGCCAGGCCAAAGTGAGGGGCCTGGAACTCCACCTGGGTCTGCCACATGGGTGGCAGGAGGTGCAAACATTTGGGCCATCATCTGCTGCCTTCCCAGGCACCTCAGCAGGGAGCTGGAGCATAAGTGGAGCAGCTGGGACTTGAACCAGCACTTATGTGGGATGCTGGCATCGCAGGCAGTGGCTTAACGGCTGTACCATGCTGCCAGCCCCTCTAACAATTATTTGAATGTAATAATACAATTGTGCTTCAAAAAGCTCATGGAAATAGAATTAAGAGGTAGGTAGGTAGGTTTATTTTTTTAAAGATTCATTTATTTGTAAAGCAGAGTAACAGCGAGCTTCCATCTACTGCTTCACTCCCCAAATGGATGCAATGGCCAGGGCTGGGTCAGGCCAAAGCCAGAAGCCTGTAGCTTCATCTGGGTCTCCCACATGGGGTAGCAGGGGCCCAAGCACTTAGGCCATCTTCTGCTGCGTTCCCAGGTGCATTAGAAGGGAGCTGGATTGAAAATGGAGCAGTGAGGACTCAAACCTGTGCTCATACGGGATGCTGGTATCCCAAGTGGTAGCTTAATCCATGATACCACAACACTAGCCCCTAATGTTTATCTTTATTTGAAAAGTATAACAGAGAGAGAGAGAGAGAAAGAGAATATCTTCTATCTACTGCTTTACCCCCCAACTTCAAAAAACAGCCAGGGCTGGGCCAGGCCAAAGCCAAGGAGACACCATCCAGGTCTCTCATGAGGACCTCAGGAACTCAGATACTTGAGCCATCACTAATTTACCAGGATACATATTAGCAGGAAGTTGGACTGGAAACAGAGTAGCTGGATTAAGCAGGCACTCTGTTATAGGATATGGGTGTCCCAAGCAGCAGCCTCACCTACTGCACCATGACCCCTACCCCAAGAAGTGTTTATGGACATACAGTAACTATAGATGTTTATGGAGTAGAGTGTGGGAATTCAGTACATGTGTAAAATGTGTAATGATCAAATCAGAACATCTAGCATTTCCATATCATTCATCATCAAGAACATTCAAACTCTTTTCTTCTTTTTTTTTTTTTTTTTTTTTTTTGCAAGACTTATTTATTTACTTGAGAAGCAGAGTTACAGACAGAGGTATCTTCTGTCCACTGGTTCACTTCCCCAAATGGCTGCAATGGCCAGAGCTGCGCTGATCTGAAGTCAGGAGCCTGGAGCTTCTTCTGGGTCTCCCACATGAGTGAAGGGACCCAAGCACTTGGGTCATCTTCCAGTGCTTTCCCAGGCTATAAGCAGGGAGCTGGATCAGAAGTGGAGCAACCAGGACTCAAACTGGTGCCCATATGGGAGGTTGGCACCACAGGCAGAGGCTTAACCTACTAGGCCACAGCGCCAGCCCCCTTCTGGCTCTTTATACAATGTAAAATGAATTGTTAGCTGTGGTGGCTACTGACTTATACTTGTATCTCTAGTTCTGTCAGTGTGTACCTAAGAGTGGGACTGTGGAGTCACTCAGTAATTCTTTTCACTTTCTGAGGACTGACAAGCTGTTTCTCCTCAATGGCTGTACCATTTTACCTCTGCACTAGTAGTGTAAGAGGGTTCCGATTTCTCCATGTTCTTGCCAGCAGGTTAATTTCCATTTTCCTTAAAACAGGCATTCTAATCGATACAAAGTGGTTTTGATTTGCATTTCCCTGTTGTCTAATGATGTTGAACATCTTCTTATGTGCTTATTGGAAATTGTGTTCTCTAGAGAAATGTTCAGTTAAATATTTTGCTCATTCATTTTTTTAAAATTTATTTATCTGAAAGGCAAAGTTAGAGAGAGGGAGAGACAGAGATCTTCCATCTACTGGCTCACTCCCCAAATAGCCACAATGACCAGGCCAGGCTTAAGCCAGGAGCCTAGAACTCCATCCAGGTCTCCCACTTGGGTGGCAGGGAGCCAAGCACTCAGGCCATTTTGTGTTGCTTTCCCAGAACATTAGCAGGGAGTTGGATTAGAAGTGGAGCAGCTGGGACTTGAACCAGTGCTCCTAAGGTATGCCAGCATCACAGATGGTCCTTAATTTGCTATGCCACAACAATGGCTCATTTTTTTTTTTTTTTTGGTAGTGTGTTTGAAACACAAATTTTTTAAGAACTGATTCATTTATTTGAAAGTCAAAGTCAGAGTTAGAGAGAATCCTCCATCCACTGGCTCACTCCCCAGATGGCTACAACAGCCAGGGCTGGACCAAGCTGAAGCCAGGAGCTTCATTCGTTTCTCTCATGTGGGTGCAGGGGCCCAAGGACTTGGATCATCTTCTGCTGCTTTTCTCAGGCCATTAGTAGGGGGCTGGATTAGAATTGGAACCTCTGGGGCCAGCACTGTGGCATGAAAGGTTAAGCCTCTGCCTGTGGTGCCGGCATCCCATCTGAGTGCTGGTTGAGTCCTGGATACTCTATTCCCAGTCCAGCTCTCTGCTAATTCACCTGGGGAAGCAGTGGAAGATGGCCCAAGTGCTTGGGCCCCTGTACCCAGGTGGGAGACCCAGAAGAAGCTCCTGGTCCTGATCAGCTCTGGCCATTGTGGCCATTTGGGGAGTGAACCAGTGGATGAAAGATCTCTCTCACTACTCTGTGTCTCTCCCTCTCTCTCTGTAACTCTGCCTCTCAAATAAATGTTAAAAATCTGAAAAAAAAAAAAAAAGAAGTAGAACATCTGGGACACTAGCGCTCATATGGGATGCCAGCATTGCAGGCAGCAGCTTTATCCACTATGCCACAACACCAGCCCTAAACCACAAAATTTTTAATTTTGATGAAGTCTATTTTTTGTTGGTTATGCCTTTTGTATCATACTTAAGAAACTGTTGGGGCTGGCTCTGTGATACAGCAGGTAAAGCCACTGCCCATAGTGCCAGCATCCCATATAGGCACAGGTTGGAGTCCTGGCTGCTCAGTTTCCTATCCAGTTCCCTGGTAATATGTCTGGGAAAGCAGCGCATCATGGTCCAAGTTCTTTGTCCTATGTACCATCTGGGAGACCGGGAAGAAACTCCTGGCTCTGGGCTGGCCCAGCTCTGGCTTTTGTGGCCATTTGGGGAGTGAATCAGTAGATAGATCTCTCTCTCTGCCTCTGCTTATGCCTCTCTGTAACTCTTTCAAATAAAATAAAATAAAACTTAAGAAAAAAGAACGGTTGCCTAATCCATAGCTGTGATTTTCCAATTCCCTTCTAAGAGTTTCATAGTTTTAGCTGTTACATTTAGGCCTTTGATCCACTGTGAGTTATTTTTTGTCATTGGTACACATCCAAATTCTCAATCTCGCATGTGGATATTTGGTTATCTAAGTACCATTTAAGGGAGACTGTTCTTTGTCCCACTGAATGGTATTGGCACCCTCGTCTAATTGACTACGGACACATACATTTATTTCTAGACTCTCAATCCTATTCCACTGACTATGTATTTGGCCTTATGCCACCACCACGCTGTTTTGACTACTGTAGGTCGGTGAGAGTTTTAAAATTAGAAAGTCCTCTGTGTTTGTCCTTCTTTTTCAAGGACTGGCTATTCAAGGTCTTTTGCAATTCCATATGAACTTTAGGTTCAGCTTGGTGGAGGCTAGGTTTTTTGAGCGGGTCTGTTTGCCCAGGACGAACTGTCTGGCTTCTGCTCTTCCCTGTATGGTTTTCCTAGTGCAAGGTTCTGTACCCAAGGGTGTGCCAAGTGGCCGACTCAGGCGTTTTGTTTGCTTCATCTTCTAGGTGAACAACTTTGTGATCTTTGAAGGTTTCTTCGCCCATCAACATCGTAAGTTTCCTCAGCTCCTGTGTAGTTGGGATGAGGGGAAGGAAGAGGTGGGCTCTTGGCCCTGCAGGCCCCCACTGAGGGGCACCACGGCTTCCTTCCTCACAGGGCCCCCCGCTCCCTCTCTGAGGGCGATGCGACAGGCTCGTGCTGCAGTTGACGCCACGCCCGCTGGTAAAGCCCGCCTGGAGTGCGTGGACCGCAGCGCAGGGAGGGCTAGTTACTCTGGGGACGGCCCAAACACAGTGCTGTCTGCGCTGCCCACTGGCCTCTGCCCTCACTGGAACTCAGTGCATTTTTGCCTCGCCTGTATTTTTAACCAAGCAAGCTCCCTGGGGGCCTGTTGATGCCAGGGGCGCCTCCTGCTAGCTCAGGTCCATCCAAATAGGCCTGAGTTGGGTCCCTTTGTAACGCGTTAGGGTTTCGTCAGGAGTGAAGGACAGGTAAGCGCAGGCAGCCCTTCTGTTTCCAGAGAGAACAGTGACAGGGATGGTCCAAAGTTTACATGTGAGTGTTAGGAGGTAATGCTCAGAACTTATAGCATTTCCAGCTAAAGTGCTCCCCAGGTCTCATCCTCATCCACACCCTCAACCTGGCTGCCCATGGGGGCCCCTCACCCCTTCTCGCTCCCGCCTGGAGGACGAGCAGCACAGGGCACACAAGGGCTCCCTTTCGGAGCCAGCTTTCTGGCTGGTTCTCACTGTCCTCCATGGCTGGCAAAGAAAGGGGGGGCGGGTCCTCCACCTGATGTCACCAGGGCCAGGCACCGAGGGGCACGTGATACGGCTGACTTTGGTTTCCAAGCTCCTGCTGGCACAGATGGTAAGAGGGGGTGCGAGCCAACAGGGATGTGAGGATTCAGGCCCATGGGGCTGAGCTGAGGATGAAGCTGACATGTGCTGGCTGAGGAGCCTGTCCGTGGCCACACATGGCAGAGCAGCTCTTCAAGGGGAGAAGGGGGAGCAGGGAGAGGAGTGAGGAGAGGGGCTGTAGACAACATGTCTCATAGCTCCCTTTCAGATGTCCAAATTCTCTGTTTTCGTTTAACTTAGGGAAACTTCAGTCTCTCCCTCTTTGCATAGGGAAGAAAGGTTCTGCCCCACACCAATCCCTCGTGAGCTTCCCAGAGCAATTCCTGATTAACCAAGGGCTTTGTCCATCTCATCTAGACAAACCCACGGTCCTTGCTGGCCCAGCTGGGACCATTGCACTGCCCCAGAATCCCAGGGGGGCCTGACAGCACCCACCAACAGTAAGAGCTCTCCTCCCCTCGGCCACCCTTCTCCTGCATCTCCCAGGATCCTGGAATCTCCCTCGGATCTTTCTCCCTTAACTCTTGTGTTTGGCCTACTCCTCTGGCTCTCCTCCAAAGTGCTCCAGCATCCTCCTGAATTCCCTCTCGCGCGTCGGCACCGCCACAGCACACCTTCTGCGATGGAGTTCCCAGGAGGAAGTGTGGCGTCCGGGAGCAGAGGCCTGGGGCTCTGGGGGTAGCGGCTGGGAGGAGGGGTGCTAATGCTCACCTTGTCTGTCTCCACCACCAGCCCCAGCACGGAAGCTGCCACCCAAGAGAGCAGAGGGAGACATTAAGCCATACTCCTCTAGTGACCGAGAATGTAAGAGGGGCTGGGGTTCCCGGGAAGGGCGGCAGTGTCCAAAGACTCTGGTTTCTCTTCTTTCGACCCTAATCCTTCCTGTCGTTAACACCTACCTCTTCCTTCCCTCTTTTCGTCCTCTTACTTTTTTTCCCTCCCTCTCCCCAGTTCTGAAGGTAGCTGTGGAGCCTCCTTGGCCCCTCAACAGGGCCCCTCGCCGTACCACACCTCCAGCCCACCCGCCCCCACGCTCCAGCAGCTTGGGAAATTCGCCAGATCGGGGTCCCCTCCGCCCCTTCGTGCCAGAGCAGGAGCTGCTGCGTTCCCTGCGCCTCTGCCCCCCACACCCTACCGCCCGCCTTCTGCTGGCCACCGACCCCGGAGGCAGCCCAGCCCAGCGTCGCCGCACCAGGTAACAGGAGTCGGTGGGTCAGGGAGTCCGCAGGCTGTGCAGGAAGAGGTCGGGAATGGAACTGAAGGGCGGGCGGACTGGGGAGTCCAGAAAGCTTTCCAGAAAAGTCAGTGCACTGACTGTATTTGTGGAACGATTGGGAAGCAAATTATATTATTATGGGGAGCCCAGTTTTAACACTGGAGTTGCATGGAAGGGTGGAAGAGCACAGAGGGCCACTGGGCGGGGCATCTAGGCCTTCTGAGACCAGGAAGGGCAGTGTCCCTGACACCGACCAGGGAGCCACTGGCCCCAAGTCCTAGCGGGCAGGGCACGGGCGTCTCCTTTGTTTCTCTCCCTGGCTTTCTCTTCACCTCTGATTTCTCTGTTTTTCTCTCTCCCCCATTTTCCTTCTCCCTTCCTCCCACCCCTAACATCCCTCCACAGCTCCCTTCCCCGCTCTGATGACAGTCGATACTGACAGCCACCCCCCTCCCTCCCTGGGAGACGCGGGGTAGGCAGAGACCCTCCCCCCAGGAACCTCAGACCCGCTCTTCCACTGCATCCTCCAGGACCCAGTGGAACCCATAGGATTCCCTCTTCCCCTTTCTTGGAGAACTGGGTTGTCAGGGTCCCAAATGGCCTAATCCTTGGTAGGTTTTCTTACCACAGAAGGCGCCCCGCTCCCCTGACTTGTGTTCTAACTCACTCCCCACAGACACTAATTATCTAGAGAAGCACACTCTGGCCTGCTGTCAGACTCTAGAGCACCCTGGCAGGCCCGAGGGCCTCGGCCAGCAGGGAACCCTGTAGCCTCGCCCACGGAGTGACTCTCATACTCCCTCTGCACTGCCGGCGGCTCCAATACTGCTTGGTGCTGCCTGCCCTTGGCAGCCAGTGAACAATCCAGGGGCCGTCAGCTCCCCAGTGGGGTCCATTCAACGTTGCCAAACTCTCAATTTCCATGTTTGTGTATGTGTTAGGGAGCCCCCAAACCCATGTTGCTTTGGGGACTCCGAAGGAGACTTGCTGACACCACCACATGCCCTAGATCCAGATTCTCTGAGGGAGCACGTTTCTTGGCAGGGGAATCCCAAAAAGCCCCCTGGGATCACTCAGCCATGTTTCTCAAGTTAGGTTTGGGTCTCAAGGGTCTATCAGATCCTGGAATCTCCTCACATGCATCCTGCCCTGTAGCTTTGCGGATATATTCTTGTCTTGTGAGACTGTCTTGAGATGAGATGGGGTACCACTGTTCCTCCGGCCTTCCCCCTCTTCTTTCCTCCATAGCAAAAACCTCCCTCCCTGCTCCACGCCCAGGGTATAGACAGCTCCTCCCCCTCCACACCCCTTTATGTGTGTAGATCAGGTACCCCCTGCCACTGTGTTCCCCGAAACCCTTGGGAGCAGGATCTCCCTCTCTCCCTACTCCTCCCTTTTCTTTTCCCTCTCAGTGTTGTCTGAATAAAGTAAGAATTCTTTTGTGTTTTCTAAATTGACATTTTCACTGAAAAAAAAAAAAAAAAGAAAAACTAAAAAAAAATCTTCAGGTGTCAGCCTCGTTTGTGTATCACCCCTATCTTCCTGGGATCTCAGGCCCACTGTCTCTCTCACCCTCCTCCCCTCTGGGATCTGCAGAACACCTGCCAGGGAGCCTCCGCGCTGGGTCTCCTGCAGAGTCCGCCCCTCTGGTGCAGTGGCTGAACCCTCTGCGCCAGCCCTTTGCATCCTCTCCCTCATTCCCTCAACGATCTCCACCCTTCACCCCGGCGCCAGCCCCTGCTGAGATGCCAAGGTCTACCAACATCTTGGGATCCACTAACTGCCTCCCAGCTGATCCCTGGATTCCTCTTCCCATTTTGATTTCCTGATGTCTGCCCCACTGAACCCTTGGATCTCTCTCTCTCTCTCAAGACAAGCCCTTACCTCCATCCACAGTCCAGCACAACTGGTCACCTTATTCCAAAGGCTCCCTTCCTTTTCCTCCTAAATTTGCCTTTGGCCTATGGTATCTTAGAGTAACCACATTTTCCAAACCATGTATCAGGGCACCAGGTCCAGCAAATTCTTTTTTGCTTATACAAGCGTCTGTTTTTCTTTTTTTTTTTTTTTTTTTTTTTTTTTGACAGGCAGAGTGGACAGTGAGAGAGAGAGACAGAGAGAGAAAGGTCTTCCTTTGCCGTTGGTTCACCCTCCAATGGCCGCCGCTGCAGCCGGCGCACCGCGCTGATCCTGGCAGGAGCCAGGAGCCAGGTGCTTTTCCTGGTCTCCCATGGGGTGCAGGGCCCAAGCACCTGGGCCATCCTCCACTGCACTCCCTGGCCATAGCAGAGAGCTGGCCTGGAAGAGGGGCAACCGGGACAGAATCCGGCGCCCCAACCGGGACTAGAACCCGGTGTGCCGGCGCCGCAAGGTGGAGGATTAGCCTATTGAGCCACGGCGCCGGCTCCAAGCGTCTGTTTTTCTAAGATGACTTGGATCACATATAGCCATACATTTAACACATTACCTCAGCTGGAAGGAAAAAAGCAACAACTCGGGACTGCTCCAGAAAATCTTGGGGCACAAAAGGAGCTCCCTCCCCTTCTCTGGGCACAGCTTAGATTAGAACCCCTTAGGAATGGTAAGTACCCTCTGATCCCTCCATACCAACCATCTTCCATCCTGTAGCCTCTCCCCCATCATCTCCCATTTCTTCTGCAGGGGGACACCCCCAGGGCTGGTAGCCCAAAGCTGCTGCTACAGCCGCCATGGGGGGTTGAGTGCCTCATCCCCTAATACGGGTAAGTATTCTTTCCTCCTCACCCTCCCATCTGGCAGGCCACACTCCCTGTCTTCTCCAGCCTTCCCATGCACATGGCTGGTATTTCCACAGGCAACCAGGAAGCGAAGCAGGGGGAACAGGAAACAGAGACTAGGTGAGGTCTAAACCCCTCCCCTAATCGTCTCCCACCACCTCCCGGCATCCTCTGCTAACGTCACACTCAGCTACTGCCTCCTAAACCTTGACCCTCACACACGACTTCCCACCTAATACTCCATCAGCCTCTTTCCCCACAGGTTCAGCCTTCAGCATTCTCTGAGGGGGTTTTAATTTGGATCTAACACAGCTCCAGCCTCACACCCATAAACGTGGTTCCTAAGCCCTGGAATTGTCTAACACCCATTCCCACCTGGGTACCTGTGTAACACCCTCTCCATCTCCCCACCTACCAGGTCTGCCCCTGAGGAGCAGGTTGTGGCACAGGACGGGTCTGGGGAGGAAGCCACGCACACAGCTCCTCCACAGGCCCCGGCCCCAGCAGCCCAGTCCTGGGCAGTGGGTGGGGACATGTTCAACGCCAGGTTCATCCGAAACTTGCAGGAACGTCGCAGCACCAGGCCTTGGTGACCGCAGCTCACCCTCACGCCCTCAAAGTCAGTATTATTTCTCCCTCACTACAGGGGACAGCCAAGAGCCAAGCCCTTATAATGGATGTATTCATTCATACATTCATTCAACAGGCTTCCTTATCAATTCCAAATCATTTGCATCTTATTTTTAACCAGAGCAATAAAAAACATTTTTAGCACGGGCGATCCTTAAAAATCTCGTGTTATTATTTCAGTCCAGCCAATCCTCACTGTCACTGCACCCGGTTCAGCCTCACATCCGTTCAGCTTTTGGGACAAACGCCACAGACCAAGGCGCTGGGCCGCTAACTTACTGCGCAAGCGCTCTGAGGCAGCCGCCAGTACCGCGAGCGCAGGCGCACGGACGGCCGACCGGGCGCCTCTTGCAGCCTCCTTGGAGCCCGCAGTGCGCAAGCGCGCAACATCTCCGTTTCCCTCCCTCAGCCCTAACCTCCCCCCCACCTCCTTTCCCCTTCACGGAGCCGGCTCCCGGGCGCGCTCACCCTCGTGAGGAGGCCGGAGGCCGGAGGCCGGACTCGGCAGGCGCGCTCTCCACTCCCGGGAGATCATGTACCAGCGCAGCCGAGGGGCGGCCCAGCGTCTCGGCCCCTGCCTCCGCGCCTACCAGGCTCGACCCCAGGTGAGAGGAAAGGAGCGCGAGGGGAGCAGGGGGGCGGGGAGAGACCCTCCCCAGAGCCGCAGCGTGGGGCGGAGCGCGCGCCGGCGTCCGCGCAAGCGCAGTGACACCACCGCCCCTGCCCACCTCTACCGGGCGGCGAATGGAGGGGTACGGGGTCGTGTGGCCTGGAAAGCGGCGCTCGCCAGCCCCGCGCAGAGTGGGACATCGGTTCTCTGCTGAGGGTCGGCCGGCGGGGTCGAGGCCGGGCCTGCGGGGCGCGCCGCGCTGCGCCCGGAGCTGCACGGTTACCTGTGCCTGGAGGTGATTTGAAGGGCAGGACGAAAAGGTTCGGAGTCCCGCCGCGGCGCCGCCCGTGAGTCCCCGGGTCCGGACCCCACCCCGCGGGCCACGCAGTGCAGCCCGCGCATCTAGCATCCGAAAACGGCCCCAGCAGGAAGTCCGGCCCGGGTGGACCCGGTTCGGGCCCCTGTGCCGGGGAGGGCAAGATGGCCACGCCCTCAGCAGAGGCTGCGCCTCTGGTACCCGCGTGGCTTCCCCGCGGTGAGACCACCTGACAGGTGCGGTCCCGGACCGAGGTACCCACAGTGAGACCACCTGGCAGGTGCGGGGGTCCGGTGACCGCCCCTCCTCGCAGTTTCAACGCGGGCAAACCGGGGAGAAGGAAGTCCAGCCTCTAACAGCCGCCTGGGGGTGTGTCAGGGCCCGAAATGATAACAACTTCCACATTCATTATCTCATACTGTAACGACCTAATGAGCCGACCTAATGAGCCTCGCCGCCCTCCTTTATGGAGTGCTTACGGGAAACAGGCTTAGGGAATGAAAGCCCCTAGGTTACACAGTAACTCCAGTTCCCGGCTTGAACTGGATGCCTGCCCCATGTAATCCTGGAGGTGTTATGTATGTGCCACCTCATTTCACCACAGTACAGTAAGCCTGTTAACTGTTCATCAGCTACGTGTAACGAGTCTTGCCGTAAGAAGTGAAAGCGCCCCCTAATAGTGGTGGAATCTTAAATCAAGGTGAAGGTGCCTGCTCCTGTGGCAGGACCTGTCCCTGTGTCGCATGCACCTATTTCCTTGTGCTTTCAGCAGATGGAGATAAACCCACCCCCTTTTTCCGTCTCTTCTGTCAGGAGGAATAGGCGGGATTGGAAGCAGCAGAGCGTGGGTGCAGGGGCGTTAGGCAGCTGGATTCTCACCCTTCCCGCCTTTCTCTTGCCTCCTCAGGAGCAGCTTTCTCCACGGACTCCACCATTCCCAGTCCTTTGGCCCCACTGCACGCCAGCCACGTCCCCATCTCCACTCGTCTGGCCTTTCCCACCCCCACACCTTCCTACTCTCCCTCTTCCTCCAGCTCGCCCACTGCCTCTCCCTCAGATCCAGGCCCTCAGCTCCCCATGGGTGGTGCTCCCTCCAGGAAAAGGGGAGGAGGGCCCAGGACCCGAGTTGCACAGTGGCTGCCTGGATGGGCTTAGGAGCCTTTTTGAGGGGGCTCCCTGCCCCTATCCTGGAGCTCTGATACCTTTCCAAGCCCCCGGAACTGCCCACCCATCCCCTGGCAGCCCCTCGGGAGATCCTAGTATGGAAGAACACCTGGCTGTCATGTATGAGAGACTGAGACAAGAGGTGAGTCAGAACAACAGTGGCTTCCATCTACAGAAGGCAGCAGCGGGCTGGCCAATTAGATTCCTGCTTAGAATCAGGAGGGCACGGGACTGTGTTTAGACATTTTACTGAGGAAATAGGTGCTTCTCGGTTTGGGAGAGGGGGGAGTTAGACGTGCACTGAGATGACCTTTTGCTTAGAGGGGAGTAAACCAGCCCTAAAACTAGAAAGCTGAGAAATTAGATCATCTTTTCTTTGCGTCTGGGTTGATGCCGTCTTTTCCCACCTAGCTTCCTAACCTCTTCCTTCACTCCCACGACTACACTCTCTATTCACCCGACGTGGAATTCATCAATGAGATCCTGAACCTGCGTACCAAGTAAGGGGCAGGGGTAGGGCCTTGGGGAGGACCCAATGCTAGACACTTGGCCTCCTCCGATTACTTCCCACAGCTCTTTCCCGTTGCTCTGACAGAAACCAGTTGCTTTTCTGACTCTGCCACTTTCCCATTCCATCTTCACAGGGGACGGACCTGGTACATCCTGTCACTCACCCTCTGTCGCTTCCTGGCATGGAACTATTTTGCACAACTTCGGTTGGAGGTCCTACAGCTGACCCGCCACCCGGAGAACTGGACCCTGCAAGCCCGCTGGCGGCTTGTGGGGCTGCCCATCCACATGCTCTTTCTGCGTTTCTACAAGCGTGACAAAGAGGAGCTTTACCGGTGAGAAGTGAGAAGGATTCTAACTGCGTAGGCCCTCTTAGGAATCTGATGAGCTAGTTCCCATCAGTGACCTGCCCTGACTCGACCGGTGGCTGGAGGATGGGGGTCTGGTGTCAGTCTGCTTTATGGAAA